GCCTCCGGAAGAAAATGAGGAAGGATGTCTCTCAGTCCTGCCCCGCCCCTCAGGCACCAGGTGGGGGAGTGTCAGCAGCCCCAGGTCACAGCCTAAACCTTCAAGCGGAGAAATAGAACAGCTACACGCTGCAGCGGCCCGAAAGGCCCAAACCTGGCCCCGCGGGAGGCCCCGCCGCCCTGGGGCCGGCCCTTGGCGGTGGACCAGGGGGGCCGGAGCCGGGAGGCCGAGCAGGCCCCAGAGCAGACCGTCCCGGCGGCCTGGCTGCTGAGCCTCAGTCTCCGCGTAAAGGGAGGGGGGCCCTGGGGGGGCTCTGCGGAGCCCAGGAGGCTGCGGACAAAGCTGGTGAGGAGGAGGAGAGCGCCACAGCCCCCACCCCGCCCCCAGCCCCTGAGAAAGGACGGCGTTGGCCAGAGCTGGGGGGGCTGTGCCTCCATCAGGGAGGGGCCTGGGAGAGTGGCCAGCAGGAGGGCACTGCTCTGAAGGGGTGAAGGAGGCGGAGGGGCCAGGCTGCAGGGCTGTGGGGAGGGTCCGCTGGGCACGGCCGAGGAAGACCAGGCAGCTACACAGCCTGGGCAGGCGGTGGGGCCAGGCTCCACGCCCGCCCTCCCCTCCCTCCTCACCTGGGCTCTCCTCTTCCCGGAGGCTCTTGGGTTGACCCTCCAGGCCCCACTGCACTCACCCCTCAGCTCTAGGTTCCAGCTCATGTGGGGAATCACAGCCTCCCCCCGCCACCCCCCAGCCCCCGCCAGCCCGCCCAGGGAAACAAACATTGACCTGACCAAGCCACAGACCCTGGACTGACAGATGGACACTGGGGACAGACACACAGATCCACACAGAGACTCAGAGACACCACAGAGGCAGCAGGCACGCAGGCAGGGAGACCCAGGGACCACAGACACGGACAGGATCGCACACTGCTAGCCTGGGGCCAGCACAGCCCCGGGAACACTGGCCACCGGTCGGCCGCGGGCACCACAGACCCCCGTCCAGCCTGTCCCCCTAGGCCCAGCGCCCCCAGCAGCAGCCCAGGGGGGAAGGGGGTAGCACGGCGGGAGGGAGGTCTGGGGAGGTCCCTGACAGCCTCCTGGGCACTGTGCAGAGCAGGCAGTGGCCGGGCCGGGCCGCAGGGAGGCACCGAGGAGGGAGGCTGGCCAGCAGAGGCCTCACTCACGCAGCGGAAGGCGAGCTCTGGCGCCGGACGAGGGTGGACAGCGGGCACCGGGGTCCAGCGGGGGCTCTGGCGGTCCGAGCGGGCGGCGGTGCCGTGGACACCGGGACTCCTTCTCGCCGCGGCGGGCGGCGGGCGGACAGTAGGCTGGCCCTGTCCGACCGTCCTCCTCCTCCCGCCCTGGGCGGGGGGGCCACCGGAGGCCCAATTGGTCTCTGCCCCCACGTGACTCCGCAGGCCTCTCTCCTTCTTTGTTGGTATTTCTCTTCATTTAGGTCTATTTTTTTCTTCTTCTAAAAGAAAAAAATACATCCCTATCTCTCTGGGGGCCGGGGTGGGGGTGGAGGCCAAGGCACCGCGGAGGCCTTGGCCCGCTGGCTGCTCCAGGCCCCGCGGGCGCCCGGAGGCAGGGACCCCACGTAGGCGGGTAGGCAGCCGCTTGTTAGCGACCGGGTGCGAGTGGGGCCTGATTTATGGGCGGCTTCTGCACCCGGCCTGCAGCCCGGCCTCTCTCCCCTCGCATGGCTACCTCCCTGGGCCTGGCCCGGACGTGGGAGGGGAGTCAGGTAGGCCTGGCGGAGGCAGGGCGTGTGTAACCACCAGGTAGCCGTGTGGGCCCGGCCTTTTCCCTCTCCCGGCGTGGAAGAGAGGAAGAGGGGACCGAGGGCGAGCAGGTGCGCTGACTGGCCACCTCCTGGTTGCACGCCACCATCCACCATGGCTGCTGATGCCCCCTGGGTCCCTGGGAAAGCTGAGGCTGGGGCAGGGGGTTTGGCTACGGTGGCCCCGGGTTGGGGTTTTGTCTAGAACAGTGGTCGGCAAGCTTCGGCTCCAGAGCCACGGTTTGTAGCTCTGTTGACTAATGAGTTTGCCGACCGCTGCGTGAGGCATTACCCTTACCCAGAAGTTTTGAGTTCAGGTTAAAGACGTTAGAACATTATAAAAATGGTTTAAAAATGTTTTTCCCTAGCGGTGGTCGGCAAACTCATTAGTCAATAGAGCGGCAAACCACGGCTCGAGAGCCGCAGTTTTCTGACCGCTGGTCTAGACGGCCAGGTCCCCCCACAGCTGGGCATGTCCCTGCCCAGCCTCCGGGCTCAGACAGGCCCAGAGGACCAGAGTGCTCTGCTCTGTCCCCCCGCCCTCCCCCCATGACGATGTGCTCTCCTGTGCGTTCCTTCACCTCACGTTTACTGGGTGCGCGTTAGGTGCCATCGCGGGAGAAAGGGGGAGAAGAGGGAAAGTCTGTCCTTGGAGGACTTACCTCCCAGCCATTCATCCTGGGGCTGGCACTCTCTGCTGAGAACCCCTCACTCAAGGAAATAGGCAACTCACAGAAAGCACCTCATGTACCTGGCTTGGGACTAGACGATTTTTCTGGGTAATTGAAGGCAACTATATTTAAAACTGGGTGTATCGCCCTAGCCGGTTTGGCTCAGTGGATAGAGCGTCAGCCTGCGGACTGAAGGGTCCCAGGTTTGATTCCGGTCAAGGGCATGTACCTTGGTTTTAGGCACATCCCCAGTGGGGGGGAGGAGGAGCGTTCAGGAGGCAGCTGATCCATGTTTCTCTCTCATTGATGTTTCTGACTCTCTGACCCTCTTCCCTTCCTCTCTAAAAAAATCAATACAATATATTTTAAAAAATAAAAATAAAATCGAGTGCGTTTTCAAAAAAAAAAAAAAGAAAAGAAAAAAAGAAATTTATCTGATACAGAGTTCAGAACAATCATGGTAAAGATGCTCAACAGCATGAAAAATGATATATTGATAGTAACAATGAAAACAGAATAAAGAATGGCATGACACAAAGAACATACTGGAAGGAATACATAGCAGGGAAGCTGAGGATTGAATCAGTGATTTAGAAGACAAGGTAGAAAAAAATCACTCAATCAGAGAACCAAAAAGAAAAAACAATAAACAGGAGGACACCAGGAATGCTCAGGGCTACTCAAGAATGCAAATAATCCTTTCTGCTAATGTTTACAGGGTAAACTACGATTGTTGGTAGAGTATTAAATTTGACAGTAAAATAATAATCAAGTTTTCAGATTAATTTAAATAGGCTAATTGAAATAAGTGGATATTCAAGAAAATTTAATTGTACTGGACAAAAAGCTGTTCCTAAAGTGTTAACTAAAATTTCTATTGGTGGTTCATCTCATGGTAAAATTCCTCAACATGCAATGAACCTAAAGCAGTCATATTTTTGTGCAAAAAATTAAAATGAAAAGTTATCAAGACTACATTATGAATTTACAAAAGCCTCCATTAACCAAAAAAGGGAGGATAGTAGGGTAATAGCATCTAAGGAAAAATATCCTGTAAGTAAATTACATCTAGAAAATTTTTACTTTACAAAATTAATTTTCATTTGTAATGCTAACAGCAAGACACCCATGAAAAACACACATGGTGTCTAAATAAGACAAAGGAAAGTCATTTGGGCAAAAGTAAAAAGGATCCCAAGTCAATTTTATAGAAAATATTCCTTTATTAACTTTTGGTCGAGAATATGTTTGGTCGATTCCAACAGAGAGGAATCGACAGGTCTGCTCTAACCACGAAGACAAGAGGAGAAACAGTCCAGAGATGGAAGATGCTGACGACACCTTGCCACGCTAGCAGTCAGCAGCTGTGCATCCCTGTAGGTTGCCTAGGACCAAACCAGAGAGGATTGGACCTGCATTGCCACCACGTGACATGTACACATAAGGAACTGTTTGACATTGAAACGGGAACTCAGAACTGTTGGACATTGAAATTGGGACTCAAACATTTTTTGTTATTATATATTTATTTCTAGTCTGCAGAGGCAAGATTTTTTTTTAAAAGAAATAAATGGGGGGAAATAGATACAGAGACAAAGAAGCATTGGACAGACTGTCAAACTACAGCAGAAGGCAGGGGTGAGGGTCTGTAAGAGATCAACTAAAGGACTTGTACGCATGCATATGGACATAATCATTGGACACAAAACACTGGTGGGGGTAGGGGAGGCCAGGGGGAGGTCAATGGGAGAAAACAGGAGACATATGTACTATTCTTTGTAATACTTCAAACAATAAAAACAAAACAAAACAGGAGGACAACTTAAGGGAGCTGTGGGACAACATGAAACATAATAATATTCACATAGCAGGTGTGCCAGAAGAGGCAGAAAGAGAGAAGGGGATAGAGAATGTGTTTGAAGAAACAAGAGCAGAAAATTTCTCTAACCTGGTGAAGGAAGAAGTCACACAAGTTCAGGGAGCACAGATTTTCCCAAGCACAAAGAACCCAAACAGGCCCACACCCAGACATATCATATTTAAAATGCCCAAAATTAAAGACAGAGAGAGAATCTTAAAGGCAGCAAGGGAAAAGCAAACTGCTACCTACAAAGGAGTTCCCATAAGGCTGACACCTGATTTCTCATAGAAACTCTACAGGCCAGAAGGGAATGGCACAAAGTACTCAAGGTAATGGGAAGCAAGGATCTGAGACCAAGATTACTATATCCAGCAAGGCTACCACTCAAAATAGACAGTGAAATAAAGAGCTAAAAAAAAAGAAAAAAAAAAAGAAAAAAAAGACTAAAGGAGTTCATCACCACCAAGACAGCATTACAAGAAATGCTAAAGGGACTGCTATATTGTGAAGAAGAAAAAGAGAGAGAGAGAGAGAGAGAGAGAGAGAGAGAGAGAGAGAGAGAGAGAGAAACCTAGGCATACAGAATTAAAATAGCAATAAATAAGTACCTTTCAATAATAATATTATATATAAATGGATTAAATGCTCCAATCAAAAGGCATAGGCTAGCTGAATGGATATGAAAACATGACCCAACAATATGCTGTCTACAAGAGACCCACCTCAGAACAAAAGATGTTGGAGACCCGATGTAAGCTGACACAGTCCTTGCACCCAAAGAAGCTAGCAAGGCTAACCCCATACCCACACAGTGTCCCCAGGCTTGTTTGGATGGCGATTATCAGTAGAATGAGTGCAACCTTTCATGGCTTGCCAAGAAGTCTGTAACTGTTAACTGAGATTTGCTGTACTAAGAATCTGCCTGATTTTCTATACCGAGAATTTGTCCTTCTGCTCTGCCTCTCCCTTAGGGATTAAGAGGAACAAAGGATACATTCCTCTTGGCAGACCTCCTATTCCGTGTTTTGTGTATAAAAAGCATTACACAGGTAATAAAGTTGTTGCAGTCAGTCAATAGCTACCTGCAGTCCTCCCACTCCCGCTTTCATGTCTTTCTTTTCTCAATTCCTACCTCCCTACGCCAGCCCAGTTCGATCTGTCAGGCTGGCCCTGGCAAAAAGACTCACACAGAATGAGTGAAGGAATGGGGGAAACTGTCCATGCAAATGGAAAAGAAAAAAAAAGCTGGTGTAGCAGTACTCATATCCAACAAAATAGACTTCAGAATGAAGACCATCACTGAAACAACAGAGGTCACTACATGGCACTGAAAGGATCAATCCAACAAGGGGATATAACTCTGGTAAACATGTATGACCCAATAGAGGAGCACCTAAATATATAAAAATACTTCTAGAGGAGTTTAAGGGAGAGATTGACAGCAATATAGTCATAGCAGGGGATTTTATACTTCATTGTATAAAACTTCCAGACAAAAATTAACAAGGAAACAGTGACTCTAAAGAACAAAATGGATCAGATGGATTTAATTGACATTTATAGAATGTTTTACCACAAAGCTACATTCCTCTCAAGTGCACATGGGTCATTCACACAGAGAGACCACATGTTAGGACACAAAACAAGTCCCAACTAGTTCAAGAAGATTGAACTCATATCAAACATCTTCTCAGATCACAGTGAAATCAAATTAGAAACTAACTACAGTAAAAACACTCCAAAACATTCAAACACATAGAAGTTAAATAGCATGTTATTAAACAATGATTGAGTTACCAATGAGATCAAGAAATAAATAAATAAAAAAAACTTCTGGAAACAAATGAAAATGAACAGAACACACAACAACCCAAAAATCTCAGGAGGATCCAAGATGGCTGCACAGGTAAACACCTAACCACAGCCTCACACAATTTCAATAAAATACAACTAAAATACAAAATGGACATTACCCAGAACTACAGGAAAGTCGACTGACTGGAAATTCTACAATGAGAAGGAAAGAGAAAACCAGAAGGAAAATCAGAGCAGCTGTAAAAGTCTAAGGTACGGAGACACGGTGCACACGTGGGGAGAGGACGGAGTTGGAGAGGAGGGGCGGCTGAGTGCCTGGCTGGCGTTCCCTAACGGAAAGGAGATAAAAGCTCCAGACTGTGCTGAGCCTCAGTTCTGACTACACTGAACCCCAGTTCTGGGCCAGACCCCGGGGACCCAGGCTCATACAGAGGGAGCCTGGGCTGTAAGGCGGAAACCTGGGGAAGTGGCGAAAGGAGGTCCTGGAGGCGCGCACATTTCTCGCAGAGAACGGGCGGTTGACTGTGCCACTGGATTGCCCTGGTGGGAGGGAGACAGGGGCTCCAGACTGCTCTGAACTCCATTTCCAACTCCACTGCCAACTGAACTGAACCCTAGTTCCAGGCTCTTTGGGGGAGAGCCTAGACTGTTTCGTAATGGGTGAAACTCGAGGGCACCTTTCTCTCAGAGGTGCTTGCAGCGAGTACTGAAGGACCCTGAGGATTACTGAGACTCAGGAGCCTCATAATGCGTGGCTGATGGAAGCCAAGGCTGTAGGCTCCACCCTGAAACTCTGCCCCATCCAAGCTGAACACAGAGGCTTTTAAGGCTACCAACTCAGGGAAGCTGTGAAAATGCCAAGACAGGAAACAGATCACAAACGAAAGAAATGGAGGACAAAAAGGGACTGGATATAGAGTTCAAAACCACATTTATAAGGTTTTTCAAGAATTTCCTAGAAAAGGCCGATAAAATAAATGAGACCTATGAGGATATGAAAAGGGATCAACTTGAAATAATAAGGGATCAACAAGAAATAATAAGGGATCAACAAGAAATAAAAAAGGATAAACAAGAAATAAAAAATACATTGTCTGAAATAAAAAATATTATACAGAGTCCTAAAAACAGAATGGAAGATCGCAAGAATCAAGTCAAAGATTTGGAACATAAAGAGCCAGAAGATACTCCTCTGCAGAAGCAAGAAGGAAAGAGAATCCAGAAAGTTGAAGATAATGTAAGAAACCTCTGGGACAACTTCAAGCGAACCAACATCAGAATTATGGGGGTCCCAGCAGAAGAGAAAGAGCAAGATACAGAAAGAATACTGGAAGAAATCGTGACAGAAAACTTCCCCCACCTGGTGAAAGATTTAGACTTACAAGTCCAGGAAGCGCACAGAACTCCAAACAAAAGGAATCAAAGAGGACCACACCAAGTCATAATTAAAATACCAAGAGAAAAAAACAAAGAGAGAATATTAAAAGCAGCAAGAGCAAAGCAGGTAGTTACCTATAAAGGAGCACCCATACGATTGTCAGCTGATTTCTCAACAGAAACCATACAGGCCAGACGGGAATGGCAAGAAATATTCAAAGTGATGAATAGCAAGAACCTACAGCCAAAAATAATCTACCTAGCAAAGCTATCACTCAGAATTGAAGTCCAGATAAAGAGCTTCACTAATAAATAAAAAAAATAGCTAAAGGAGTTCATCACCGCCAAGCCAGAATTATATGAATTGCTGAAGGGGGTTCTTTCGGAAGAGAAAGAAAATAAAGATAAAAATTATGAACAATAGCCAGGCCCGGAGCAGCTGGGCCCGGGTCAGCCCTGCCCAGAGAAGCTGGTTCGGAAGTATCCAAGCCCAGAGCAGCAGCAGCCAGGCCCAGAGCAGCCAGGCCAGGAACAGCCAGGCCCAGAGCGGCAGCAGCCAGGCCTGGAGCAGCAGCAGCCAGGCCCGGAGCAGCTGGGTGCGAAGCGGCGGCAGCCGGGCCGGGAGCAGCTGGACCGGGAACAGCAGCAGCCAGCCCAGGAGCGGCAACAGCCGGCCCGGTGCAGCCGGACCCGTAGCAGCCAGGTTGGAAGTAGCCAGGTCGGGAGCAGCCAGGCCTGAAGCAGCCAGGCCTGGAGCAGCAGCATTCAGGCCCTGAATGGCAGCAGCAAGTTTACATGTAAACAAGTTTGCTTCTCAGTTACCAGGGCAGAAAAAAAGGTTTAAAATTATTAGATTTTAAAATTTATTCTTAAAAATATAAAAGTTTATTAATTAAAAAAAACAACAAGGAAATTAAAAAACCTGATGAACAATATTAACTGTTGATTATAATAGAATCAGAGATTTGGGAGGGGAGTGGACTGACAATTCTCGGGGAAAAGAAAAGAGGGAGATACAGGAAGAGACTGAACATAAACTGTGCACCTATGGATGAGGACAATGGGGGGGGGGGAAGGGCAGAGGGTGGGGTGGGAACCTGGTGGAGGGGGGAAAAATGAGAAACTTTTGTGATAATATGAGCAGTAAAGATTGATTAAAAAATAAATTAATTAATTAAAAAAAAGGGAAAAAAGTTATGAACAACAAATACGTAACTATCAACAAGTGAATCTAAAAACCAAGGGAATTAAAAAAAAATCTGATGAACAATATTAACTGGTGAATATAATAGAATCAGATGTATGGAAAAGGAGTGGACTGACGATTCTCAGGGAAAAGGGGAGAGGGGGATGTGGGAAGAGACTGAACAAAAACTGTGCACCTATGGATGAGGACAATGGGGGGTGGGGAAAGGGCAGAGGGTGGGGTGGCAACCTGGTGGAGGGGAGCAATGGAGGGGGGGGGGAAATGAGGAACATTTGTAATAATATGAACAATAAAGATTTATTAAAAAAAAATCTCTGGGACACAGCAAAAGCAGTCTCCAGAGGGAAGTTCTTAGCACTACAGGCATACTGAAACACACACACACACACGAAAAATGAATAATAATTTACTTAAGTGTACAACTTAAAGAATTAGAAAGAAAAGAAGAAAAACCCACAGGAAGTAGAAGGAAGGAAATAAAAAATTAGGGCAGACATAGGTGACATAGAGACTAAAAATAAATAAATAAATAAATAAATAAAAAATACAAAAAAGCAATGAAATCAAGAGCTGATTCTTTGAAAGGATAAACAATATTGATACACCATTAGCCAGATTCATCAAGAAACAAAGAGAGAGGACCCAAGTAAATAAAATCAGAAATGAAAGCAGAGAAGTAAACACTGACACCACAGAAATACAGAGAATTGTAAGAAAATACTATGAACATCTATATGCCAACAAGCTGGACAATGTGGATGAAATGGAAAAATTCCTAGAAAAAGAAACCTCCCAAAATGGAATCAGTAAGAATCAGAAAACCTGAAGAGGCCAACAACAGCTAATAAAATAGAAGCAGTAATAATAATAATAATAAACCTTCCAGGTCCTGATGGTTTCACAGGGAAGTTTTACCAACCATTCAAATAAGAACTAACACTTATCCTCCTTGAACTATTAAAAAAAAAAAATTCAAGAGAAAAAAACACTCCTGAGGTCTTTAAAATATTTATATTGATTTCAGAGAGAAAGGGAGAAAGAGATGGAAACACCAATGATAAGAGAGAATCATGGATGGGCTGCTGCCTCCATGTGGATTGTGCCCTTGTTGCATGTATTCCTGGATGCTAACACTCCATACAATCTGAAGGCTACCACTCTATTCACTGAGCCAAACCACCCAGGGCCCAAAGTCCTTTTCTAAGGCTGGCATTATCCTAATTCCAAAACCAGATGACGACACTACAAAGAAAGAGAATTATAGGCCAATATCCTTGATGAACATAGATGCTAAAATCCTCAACCAATTATTAGCACATCATATCCAGCAATATATTAAAAAAAAGATCATACACCATGACCAAGTGGATTTATTCCAGGGATGCAAGGCTGGTACAATATTTGCAAATCAATAAATGTGATGCATCCCATAAACAAATTGAAAGACAAACATCACATGATCATATCAGTAGACACAGAAAAAGCATTCAACAAATTCCAGTATCTATTTTTGATAAAAACTCACAGGAAAGTGGGATAGAGGGAGCATATCTCAACATGATAAAGGCCTTATATGGAAAACCTACAGCCAACATCAAACTCAATGAGCAAAAACTAAAACCATTTCCTCTAAGAGCAGGCACAAGACAGGGATGTCACTTTCACCACTTATTCAACATAGTATTAGAAGTTCTCACCACAACAATCAGGCAAGAAGAAAAAATAAAAGGAATCCAAATTGGAAAAGAGAAAATAAAACTCTCATTATTTGCAGGTGACATAATATCGTACATAGAAACCCTTTAAGACTCCACAAAGAACTACTAGATTTAATAAATAAATTTGGGAGGATCCAAGATGGCTGCTTGGGTAGACACCTAACCGCAGCAGCACACAACAATTTCAATGGAATACAACTAAAATGTAGAGTGGACATCGCCCAGAGCTACAGGTAGTCGACTGACTGAAAATTCTACAACAAGAAGGAAAGAGAAAACCAGAAGGAAAATCAGAGGAGCTGAAAAAAAGCCTAAGGTACGGAGACATGCTGCGCGCCTGCACACACGCGCGCGCAGAGAGGTCGCAGCCAGAGAGGAGGAGAGGGCTGGGTGCTGCCTGGCGTTCCCTAGCAGGAAGGAAATAAAACCCCCAGCCTGGGCTGAACCCCCGAACCGGCAGCGCTGACCACCAGTTATGAGCCAGACCTTGGGGACCCAGGCTCCGGCAGGGGAGACGGGGCTGTGAGGCGGAACCCCAAGCGAGCAGCTAAAAGCAGGGCCCCCAGAGTCGCGCGCACATTGCGCGCAGAGGACTGAATGTTGTCTCTGATGCTAGATCAGTGTTTTTCAACCTTTTTTGGGCAAAGGCACACTTGTTTCATGAAAAAAATTACGAGGCACACCACCATTAGAAAATGTTAAAAAATTTAACTCTGTGCCTATATTGACTATATATAAAGTAATTCTCTTGAATAGGAATCAAATAAACACAAAGAAAGTATTTTATAATTACTTTATTATGAAATATTAAGTAAACAAAATAGTGAAAAATTATAAAATTCTTGTCTTGTCTGCACCTACGGCACACCAGGCAACATCTCACGGCACACTAGTGTGCCGCGGAACAGCGGTTGAAAAACGCTGTGCTAGATTACCCTAGCAGGAAGAAACAAAGCCTCCAGCGGCGGTGCTGAGCCTCAGTCCGGACTGCTCTGAACCCCAGTCCTGGACCAGACCCTGGGCACCCAGGCTCGGCCAGGGGGAGACAGGGCTGTGAGGCGGAATCCCGGGGGAGCGGCGAAAAGCGGAGCCCCCAGAGTCGCGCACACTGCTCACAGAGGACAGTCTGTTGACTCTGATCCTAGACTCCCCTAGCGGGAAGGAGAAAAAAAAAAAAGCTCCAGACTGGAGGAATGTGACAGGGAGCAGGAGCCCCTGCCGGACACCAGCCAGCTGGGCCCTGCAGGGAGCCGGGCGACGGGGCCCCCAGGGGGGGGGGGTGCCCCTGAGCCTTCAACCTCTGAGCGCGAGCAACGGAGCCAAGGCCGGGGGCTGCTTCCTGGGCGGCGCCGACCCCGGCAACAGGCTGAAGCAGCGCAGGAGCCAGCGGAGAACAAAGGGGTGCCACAGGCCAACCTGCTGAGCTCCCAGGTCAGGAGGAAGAAACCAAAGTTCCCAATGTGAAGAAATCAAGTGAGAGCAAAAGATAGTAAAATTACTTAAGAAAGAATACAAAGAAGATCTTGAAAAATCAAAGACTAAGTCAGAACTCAACTCACCAGCCAACATTGCAACATAAATGCGTTTAAAAAAAAAAAAAAAAAAGGACAGAATGTTGGAACAGCGGCGGCCAGGCCTAGAGTGGCCAGGCACAAAGCAGTGGCAACTGGGCCCGGAGCAGCAACGGCCAGGCCCCAGAGCAGCAGCAGCCAGAACCAGAGCAACAACAGCCAGCACTGGAGCAGCCAGACCTGGGGCAGTGGCAGCCAGGCCTGAGGTGGAGGTAGCAAAGCTCAGGGTGGCCAGTCCAGGAACACCCAGACCCGGAGTGGCAGGGCCCGGAGAAGCTGGGTCCAGAGCAGCCGGGTTGGGAGCAGCCAGGCCCAGAACAGCAGTAGCCAAGCCCGAAGCATCCAGGCTGGGAGCGGCCAGACTCGGAGCGGCCGGGCCTGGGGCAGCTGGGCCTGGAGCAGCCGGGTCTTGTGCGGCCAGGCCCGGAGCAGCAGCTGCCAGGCTGGGAGCGGCCAGGCCCGGAGCAGCAACAGCCAGGTCCAGAGCAACTAGGTTGGGAACAGTGGTGACCAGACCCGGAGCAGCTGGTTGTGGAACGAACCAGAGCAACAGAGGCCAGGCCCAGAACAGCCAGGCCCGGAACAGCTCGCTCTTCACCTGCCCCTGCCCCACGGCTGCCTCTCAGACATGGCTGGAAACTTTTGTGGGAACTTGAGGGTTTGCTGAATCAAGTGATGAAGGCTTAGATCTGGATGTGTTGAGTTAGTATAGGGCTGGGGTGTTGATCTGTGAGTGCCTTGGGTGGGGCCTGGATGAGGCTGGTTGACCTATTTGGAAATGTCTTTTGTGTGAAATGTATCATTGGGCATGTGGTGGTATTATTGATATGAGAAAATGCTAAGTAACTGATTTACTATCTGAAAAGGGATTTACTATCGGGGAAAGGGAGGGAGGAAGAGACTGAACATAAACTGCACCTATGGATGAGGACAATGGGGGATGGGGATGGGGCGGAGGGTGGGGTGGGAACCTGGTGGAGGGGGAAATGAGGAACCTTTGTAACAATATGAACAATAAAGATAGATTAAAAAAAAGATAAAAACAAACAAATAAATAAATAAATTTGGCAATGTAGCAGGATACAAAATCAATATCCTAAAATCGATGGCTTTTTTATATATAACAATAATGAGTTCTCAGAAAGAAAAACTAAACAAACAATCCTATTTATCATTGCAAAAACAAAATTAAGCTATTTAGGAATAAACTTAACCAAGAAGGCAAAAGACCTGTACTTGAAAACTACAGGATGTTGGAAAAAAGAGATAGAAGAAGGTATAAACAAGTGGAAGAATATACCATGTTCATGGATTGGTAGAGTCAACATCATTAAAATGTCCATACTATCCAAGGCAATCTATAGATTCAATGCAAACCATATTAAAATATCAACATCATATTTCACAGATCTAGAACAAATACTCCAAGTATTTATATGTAACAAAAAAGACCCCAAATAGCTGCAACAATCTTGAGAAAAAAGAACAAAGTTGGAGGAATCGTAATACCAGATCTCAAGTTATACCACCGTAATCAAAACAGCCTGGTACTGGCACAAGAACAGGCATATAGATCAAAGGAACAGAACAGAGACCCCAGAAATCAACACAAGTCATCACGCTCAATTAATATTTGACAAAGGAGGCAAGAGCATACAGTGGAGTCAAGACAGTCTCGTCAATCAGTGGTGCTAGGAAAATTAGACAGATACATGCAAAAAATTAAACTAGATCACGAACTTACACCATATATTGGAATAAATTCAAAGTGGATGAAAGACTTAAATGTAAGTTGGTAAACCATAAAAATTCTAGAATATTCCATAGGCAGCAACATCTCAGATATAGCTCATAATAATATCTTTATGAATACTTCTCCTAGGGAAAAAAAAACTAAGAGAAAATAAACAAATGGAACTACACCAAAATAAAAGTCTTCTGCATAGCAAAAAAAAAAAAAAAAAAAAAAAACAAAAAAAAAAAACCAACCAAACAAACAAACAAACAAAACACAAACAAAAAAACATCAACAACAACAAAAAAAGGGAGCCCACCATATGGGAAAACTTATCTGGCAATGATCCATCTGATAAAGGGTTAATATCCAAAATATATAAGGAACACATACAACTTGACAGAAGGAAGACAAACAATCCAATTAAAAAATGGGCAAAGGACCTAAGTAGACACTTCTCCAAAGAGGTCATACAGATGGCCAAGAAATATGAAAAAATGCTCAAAGTAACTGATCATCAGAGAGATGCAAATGAAAATGACAATGAGGTATCACCTCACACCTGTCAGAATGGCTGCCATCAACAAATCAACAAATGACAAGTGCTGGCCAGGATGTGGAGAAAAGGGAGCCCTGGTGCACTGCTGGTGGGAATGCAGCCTGGTGCATCCACTGTGAAAAATAGTATGGAGTTTCTTCAAAAAATTAAACATGGAACTGCCAATTCACCCAGTGATCCCACTTCTAGGAATATATCCTAAGAGACACAAAACACCAATCAGAAAGAATGTATGTACCCTTATGTTCATAGCAGCACAAATGGAAACAGCCCAAGTGCCCATCAGCAGATGAGTGGATGAAAAGCTGTGGTACATTCACACCATGGAATACTATGCAGCAATAAAGAGGTCTCTTGGGAATCTGGAATATAAGGCAGAAACTCAGGGGAGCAGCGAAAGGCAGACCTCCGGAGGCCGACATGTGAGTGCACACAGAGGATGGACTGTTGACTGTGCTGCTGGTTTGGCCTAGTGGGAGGGAGATAAGAGTTCTAGACTGCCCTGAACCCCAGTTCTGACTGCACTGAACCCAATCCTGGCCGAGAATCTGGGAATCCAGATTCATCGGGGGAGAGAATAGACTGTCTGGCATTGGGCAAAACTCGATGCCAGACAGTCTAGTCTCAGAGGTGCTTGCAGGGAGTAACAAAGGACACTGAGGGACACTGAGACTCAAAAACCTCATAGGGTGGGGCTGTAGGCTACACCCTGAAACTCCGCCCCATCCAAGCTGAGCACAGAGGCTTTTGCAATTTTGCAAGTCTAGTTGAATAAGGATGTCTCCATCATAGAAGTTCTCCTGGCATAGACATAGCTGATCCTCACAGCCAATTGGCCTGGAGGTCAACTCCTCCCATTGATACCAACAACAATCAAGACTTAACTACAACAAGGCTGTACACACAGGGGAGAACCAAGAGTATCCACTTCAGGTAACTGGGGAGGCTGAGCCACTGCCCCATATAGTTCACCAAGCACACAAAGCTACCCTACCAACTCAGGGAAGCAGTGAAAATGCGGAGACAAAGAAACAGATCACAAAAGAAAGAAATGGAGGAAAACAAACGACTGGAGATAGAGTTCAAAACCATGGTTATAAGGTTTTTCAAGAATTTCCTAGAAAAGGCTGATAAATTTATTGAGACCCTCGAGGATATAGAAAAGGACCAACTAGAAATTAAACATACACTGACTGAAATAAAAAAATATTATCCAGACACCCAACAGCAAACTAGAGGAATGCAAGGATCAAGTCAAAGATTTGAAATACAAAGAAGCTAAAATCACTCAACTGGAAAAGCTAAAAGAAAAAAGAATCCAAAAATTTGAAGATAGTGTAAGGAGCCTCTGGGACAACTTCAGGCATACCATAATCCAAATTATGGGGGTCCCAGAAGAAGAGAGAGAGCAAAATATTGAAAACCTATTTGACGAAATAATATCACAAAACTTCCCCCACCTGGTGAAAGAAATAGACTTACAAGTCCAGAGAAGCACACAAAACCCCAAACAAAGGAATCCAAAGAGGACCACACCAAGGCACATCATAATTAAAATGCCAAGAGCAAAAGACAAAGAGAGAATCTTACAAGCAGCAAGAGAAAAACAGTTAGTAACCTACAAGGGAGCACCCATACGACTGTCAGCTGATTTCTCAACAGAAACTATGCAGGCCAGAAGGAAGTGGCAAGAAATATTCAAAGTGATGAATAGCAAGAACCTACAACCAAGATTACTGTATCCAGCAAAGTTATCATTCAGAATTGAAGGTCAGATAAAGAGCATCACAGATAAGAAAAGGCTAAAGGAGTTCATCACCACCAAACCAGTATTATATGAAATGCTGAAAGATATTCTCTAGGAAGAGGAAGAAGAAAAAGGTAAATATAAAAATTATGAACAACAAATACATATCTATCAACAAGTGAATCTAAAAATGAAGTGAATTAAAAATCTGATGAACAGAATAAACTGGTGAGTATAATAGAATCAGGGGCATAGAAAGGGAGTGGACTGACAATTCTTAGGGGAAAAGTGGTGTGTGGGATGCAGGAAGAGACTGGACAAAAATCATACACCTATGGATGAGGACAAAGAGGGTGGGGTGGGAGCCAGGTGGAGGGGAGCTCTGGGGGAAAAAAAGAGGAACAATTGTAATAATCTGAACAATAAAGATTTATTAAATTAAAAAAAAATCTCTTACCCTTTGAGACAGCATGGAGGGACCTGGAGACCATCATGCTGAGTGAAATAGCCAGTCAGGGAAAGACAAATATCACAGGAACTCACTCATATGTGGAATCTTTACTTAGTTGATAAGTAAATAAACTGATGAACAGAGTGGATCCAGTGACATGGAAGCATGGGACAGAGTGCGGAATCTCGGAGGGAAAGGGAGGGGAGGTGCGAGGGTGTGTGTACATGCATGGCCCGCGGACAGAACCATTGGGGTGCTGGTGGCCTGGGGTGAGGGCGGGGGTGGGCTGGAGAGAGTCAAGGAGGGGAAAAGGGGACATATGTAATACTTTCAACAATATTTTTTAAAGTAAATAAATAAATAATGGAAAATAGAAAAGAAGACAGGTGAAATTAATTTTATTTTTATTTATTTATTTTAAAAAATATATTTTATTGATTTTTTTACAGAGAGGAAGGGAGAGAGAGAGCTAGAAATGTCAATGAGAGAGAAACATTGACCAGCTGCCTCCTGCACACCCCCCACAGGGGATGTGCCTGCAACCAATGTACATGCCCTTGACCGGAATCGAACCTGGGACCCTTCAGTCCGCAGGCC